CAGTTTCCAAAAAAATATTTGGCAGCACAACATTGATAATTCTAATCATAAATCAGCATATTAGACTGATTTCTTAAGGATCAATTGAAACTTTATACTGGAGTAATGGCTGACGGAAATTCAGCTTTGCATCACAGAAATAAATATTTTAAAGGATATTAAAATAGAAACCATTATTTTATATTGTAATAACATTTTGCAAGATTACTGTTTTTTCTGTATTTTTGATCAAATACATGCAGCCTTGATGAGCATAAGAGGCTTCTTTAAAAAACATTACAAGTCTTACTGATCCCAAACTTTTGACCGGTAGTGTATATATATATGGGATTTTATTAACAAAATGACGGAGGCAGAGCTATTGGATATTGCTGTGGACAACGGAGGGCCTTAAGGCCCGTTCACACCAAGCACGATAACTATAAAGATAATGATAACAATATAGTTCTAAAAATCATTCTCAATATTAAAGAATAGCATAGTTCACACCACAATTATAACGATAACGATACAGAGGAACGATATCGTTGTGATCACTTTCAAAACTATTTTTTTCCAGCTGATGAGTGATAAAACACTGACAGCCAATCAGAATCCATCTTGCTGTAACGAGCTCAAGAATTTAAAGCGGCAGACGCATGTGTGCTTAGAATAAACAGACGATATCGTTCGCTGGTGTGGACGCTAATATCGTTATCTTTATAGTTATCGTTCTTGGTGTGAACGGGGCTTTAGAGTCAAAAAGACTGAGATTTGCCGCTTTAAAAAGAAGGCAATCAATGGATTTTCCTGCCGTTATCTTCTCATGTTTCCTATGTTTTCAGTAAACTCATGTTCTCCAAATGTCCTCTACTGATGATGAAAGCACCTATAAATCTGCCAGCACTCAGTGCGTCTAATTTCCAAACTATCCCACACACACACATGCACATACACACCATTCAGAGAAGTAAAGAGTTAAAAATAAATAATGAAGTTTCCAGCTTTGTGCAACGGTGAGAGGATCCTCCACTGCGCTCACTCCTGCACCAAAACTCAATTTAAATCGATTCTGTGTCTCAAATCCTGGATGGTTTTTCCCCGTGGGACACAGGAGCCTGTGTGCGGCCACTAATGCACATTCAATGAGAGTTTCTATCAGGCTCAGCTACTGATACTGACAAACAAGAAGTCCTAAAATACTAAAAAAGAAACCAATTTAATTACATAATTAGCTTATGTTATTAGTATAGTCTTTTTTATGCATATATTTATATTTACTATATATTTTTACTTCTACCTGATCTGTCAAAAAGCCAAGCAGCGATCTTAAAAAAATTTAATAAAAATATTTTTTAGGAATCCTAAAATAAATAAATAAATACATACATTTGATAAATTAATTTCAGCAGTCGATTTCTGTGCCATTATTGCCACTCAAATAAATGCTGTTCTTTTGAACTTTCATCAAAGAATCCTGAAAAAAATACTTTAGATAAATATTTAATATATAAACATTTAGAAATGTTAAGCAGCACAACTGTTTTCAACATTGATAATAATCAGAAATGTTTCTTGAGCAGCAAATCGGCATATTAGGATGATTTCTGAAGAATCATGTGACACTGAAGACAGGAGTAATGATTAGAGGTCGACCGATTGATTTTTAAATAATCGGCATCGGCCGATTGTGCTGCAAATTAGGCCGATTCATAGGCAGGCGCATCTGCGGGCAGCTAAGTGTTGTTGCAGAACACCGGAGAATCGCTCTCTGGCTGCGTGAGAGACGGAGCAACTCACACTCTGTCTACAGCCGCTTCTTGTTCACACACAGCTTCAGCTAATGATGGCAGGGCAAAACAGACCGTTTCGAAAGCGTAATTACGACCTCTAGTAATGTTGCTGAAAATGCAGCTTTGATCACAGAAATAAATTAAATTTTAACATATTTTCACACAGAAAACAGCTATTTTAAATCCTAATAATATTTCACAATTTCTACTGTATTTTCGATCAAATAAATGCAGCCTTGGTGAGCAGAGGAGTCTTCTTTCAGAATTATACCAACCTCAAACTTCTGAATGTTAATGTAGTTCAACTCAAGAGACTTGTTTGCAAACCTTAGTCAGTACACACTTATAAACTTACAATGTTTTTGTTTCTATGAAGAACTTTCAAATCTTGTGCACTGGTCCCTAGTGAGCGTGTGTGAGTAAATCTGACTGCTGCTGTACTGATGTGTGTCTAGCGAGTTGCTGCATGGCGTGACCTTGCCTGCGGGTCTGTCACACACACACACACACACACACACAGACAGACAGACACACAGACACACACACACCTGTTTGCCGCAGCCTCTCTCATTATGTCCAGTCATCAGTGAATCACTGGCCCCTAATGGCCTAATGTGACTGTATGACTGCAGCGGACACATAAAGGAACTCAACATTAAAAACCCTCATGATCCCTGCAGGAGACTGACATTCACGGGGAAAAAGAAAGTTAGAAGAAAACTGGATGGAAATTGGCTTCTCCTGACCGCACAGAGGGGTAGAGATGAATGCAGAGGTCACATCCCAGCATGCACTTGGGCGGCCGGAGCTGAGAGGGACGGTATCATTAGAGGAAGTAGATCATGCATCACAATCTCTGAAGGTCTGGACAAAGCCAGTGTTGCGAGGTCCGCTTCGAGACCTCCGGATGCCACAGCAGCGCTATTTTAGAGGACAAAACGAGTGGAGGGAGTCGGTCTTATCTTACATGTCTCCAGCAGCAGATATTGAGAGAAAATCCCTGGAAAAAGCAGCAGCTTATCGGAGCTTTTGTTTGGTGAGCAGAGAAGAGGTCGGATGGTCTTATCAGACACAAAAACACTAACACCGCGAGATGATCAACACCTCACATGTAGATACTCATCATGTAACATAGTTAAAGGTGGTGTAAGTGATGTTTCTGAAGACCGTGCATAAAATATTACTGCTTCCTGACAGATAAGTACATGTCGTGAGGAATCACAACTGCATCTGGTAGAACTAGACTCTATGAGAAGAAAACGACACAAAAGTTTGGGGTTGGTAAGATTTTTAAATGTTTTTGAAAGTCTCTTCTGCTCACCAAGGCTGCATTTATTTGATCAAAAATACACTAAAATAGTGAAATATTATTATGATTTAAAATAGCTGTTTTCTTTGTAAGTAGACGTTAAAATGTAATTTATTGCTGTGATCAAAGCTGAATTTTCAGCATAATTACTACAGTCTTCAGTCACTTGATCATCAGAAATCAGAGTGGAGGGAGTCGGTCTTATCTTACATGTCTCCAGCAGCAGATATTGAGAGAAAATCCCTGGAAAAAGCAGCAGCTTATCGGAGCTTTTGTTTGGTGAGCAGAGAAGAGGTCGGATGGTCTTATCAGACACAAAAACACTAACACCGCGAGATGATCAACACCTCACATGTAGATACTCATCATGTAACATAGTTAAAGGTGGTGTAAGTGATGTTTCTGAAGACCGTGCATAAAATATTACTGCTTCCTGACAGATAAGTACATGTCGTGAGGAATCACAACTGCATCTGGTAGAACTAGACTCTATGAGAAGAAAACGACACAAAAGTTTGGGGTTGGTAAGATTTTTAAATGTTTTTAAAAGTCTCTTCTGCTCACCAAGGCTGCATTTATTTGATCAAAAATACACTAAAATAGTGAAATATTATTATGATTTAAAATAGCTGTTTTCTTTGTAAGTAGACGTTAAAATGTAATTTATTGCTGTGATCAAAGCTGAATTTTCAGCATAATTACTACAGTCTTCAGTCACTTGATCATCAGAAATCATTCTAATATGCTGATTTGCTGCTCAAGAAACATTTATGATTATTAATGTTGAATTAATGTTGAAAACAGTTGTGTTGCTTCACACTTGGGCAGATTATTTTTTTCAGTATTCTTTGATGAATTCACTTATTCCACTTACACTAATAAATGTTTTTACCAACATCAGCCCTGATCATAACTACCAACAATGCATTGATTTTCAGGATTTTAATCCATTAAATGCCAGTTTACATTTTTTTAAATGGAAAAATACAAACAATCAATTATCTTCCGCATACGCCAAGCAGATTTTTTTTTAGGGTTATTACAGTCTTAGACAAGTCAATGATTAGAAACAACATTAATTTTGCATGATGCATTTTTTTGTGCAGTGTCAGATTAAAAAATAAAAATCATAAAATTAATCACTCATACACACAAATTTCTCATACATACAAATCACACTCTGATATCCATACCAACACAATCACACAAGTATAATTATATCACATAATTCAATATAACTTATATATATTTAAGTTATATTGAAATTAAAAGAGAACAGGCTCTATAGGCCAAATGAGAAAATGGTGTCAAAATAGTAATAAACAAACAAAAAAAAAAACATACAAAATAAATAAATAAAAACAAGTAAAGAAAATTAAGAAATGAGCATGAAATACTAAAATTCCAATAACAGAATTTATTTATATTTAATAGAAACTTAAAATAATCTAAAACAGATCAACAGCAATAAACTATAAAATTTCACTACAAAAAAATCAAACAAACAAAAAAAATAAACACGTTAAAGAGGTACTTATGTGAATCCCACTTTAATTGTTTGTAAACCACATAATTTACATTAACCATCCAAACAAACCGTTCAAACCAATCTGGTTTTCAAAACAACAACACTAGACTGATAAAAAACAAATGGATGTTTTCGGATGTTAAAATATCTTGCCAAAACAGCACAGAAGTTTATGATGCACATTTGTTTGTGAGCAGGTTATGTAATAAAACCGTTACTTTGCTCGGTTCTCAGTGAGTGCAAACATGGGCTGATTCTGAGAGCGAGGTCATGGGAAAAGAGTGTGAGTTACATCATTAAGCTACACTTTAGGAGAGAGGATTTAATCAGGGCACAGGAGACAGCGGCAGCGCAATCAATCAATCAAATCAATCAATCGATCAGTACTCACCTCTCCATCTCATACTCTTTCACGCCCGGCTTCACACGTTTCATCACCTACAAGGAAACACACAGTAATCAGATAAGTGCGTTTAACAAAATATTAAATTAGTCATCCACCTCAGTCATCAGCCGAGGGCTTCCCTTCCCTCTCCAGATAAAGCCTAATAATCTCAATGAACTCTCGCCGGCAGTCAGAGCGCACAGACACAGACGAGAGCTGCACAACGGCTCTGAAAATGACCAGCAATTGCCTTCAAATTACAGAACGACTCATCCATTTGATGAGATAACAGTCATTTGCAGCGCGGCGGAGAGAAATGTGGGAGCGCGAGTGTCGAGGGCTGTTTGATGATTGTAGGTTAGGAAGCTTTTATTTCAATCGAGAATCATGAGTCACACTGTATAGCGGCGCTGAAGGATCCCCAGGAGATTGCGGCGATCAGGTTGATGTAGATAATGTTAGTATGTTGGGTGACAGAGGTAATATGATACTTGTAGGAATAAAACGTTGCTAGTATATACTGTTCAAAAGGCTGCCGTCTGTAAGATTTTTTTTTTTTTAAAGAAATTTATATTTTTATTCAGCAAGGACTCATTAAATTTATTAAAAGTGAGAAAAAAGATTTCCGTTTCAAAAATATGCTGTTTTTGAACTTTCTATGCAAAATAATCCTGAAAAAAAAAAAAAAGCAAAAATGAAAAATGTTTTTGGATGTTCATATAAATTATGCTGCAGTGTTTTGTTCCGCAAAGAACACCAATTTTTTTTCTCTACAGTTAAATGAACACTTTTATTCAACAAAAAGCAACAAGTTGATCAAAACTGAAAGGAAAGGCATTTATAATATTACAAAAGATTTCTATTTCAAGTAAATGCTTTTTTAAAATAAGTCAAAACAAGCATGAAAGTATGCATCGGAATATTCTATTCATCAAAGAAGCCTTAAAAAATTAACCATGGCTTCCACAAAAATGAGAAAAAACATTATGCAGTAATACTACTATAAACAATAATATTAATATATATTTTTATATTAACCAAATGATTCCTGAGCAGCAAATCAGTATATTAGCATGATTTCTGAAGGATCATGTGACACCGAAGACTGGAGTAATGATGCTGAAAATTCAGTTTTGATCACAGCAATAAATTACATTTACAATATATTCACACAGAAAACAGTTCTTTTAAATTGTAATATTTCAAAATGTTACTGTTTTTACTGTATTTTTGATCAAGTAAATGCAAGCAGAAGAGACTTCTTTCAAAAACATTTTTTTTAAAAATCAAACTTTTGAATGGTAATTATCTCCTACTAGTTAGAAGCTTGTTTAATGTGTCATTTTAAATTGTAATAATATTTCTCAATATTATAATTTTTAATGTATCATTCTAAAAACAAGAGCAAAAGATGAGCACTTGACTTGTGCTGTGTTAGACAGTCACGGTCTCCTGAAAGTGATCAGGGTTACAGGCATGTAAAAAACAAACAAACATGAAACACAGGACACACAAGTAACAAGAAACTCAACAGAATACATATCAACCCAGTGGATGCTGCACACTGGTGGTGGTTGAGGAGAGACCCCCCCACATGATTGTAAAGCGCTTTGGGTGTACAACAATACACAGTAAAGCGCTATATAAATGCATCATTCATTCATTCATTCACTTAGCCTATTTCCAGTTTTGTATACCTATTTAAACTATGTAAATTATTTATTTTATATTAGCCTGCCCTATAAGCATGGTGTATTTTTATTTGTTTTGTTAATAAAAGTTCTATGTTTTATATATAGGCTAAAGTGAGTTTGACGTCGTATTTTGTTGTTGCATTCAAGCAATTGACGCCGAACTGCCGCTAATTCGAAAATGTAAAATGTGCACGGCGCTTTTTAAGCTATTTAAAAGCGAAGAAAAGCGAGGAAAAGCGAGGAAAAGAGGGGAAATTCAAGCGAGCAAGAAAAACTGACAAATGCAATTCTGATGGGGCTGAAATCACAAAGTCCATGTGGACATCCTATTAAACTAGTCACTGGCATGTAAATAGGGCTAATGATGCTGTTTAAGATCAAATAAATAAATGCATGATTGATTAAGATAACAAATGTTATTTGAAGAAATATAAAACAGAACTATATCATGCATCTCTAAACTGATGCACAATATCATGACTTCAGTATCTCTTCAGATATTTGCATTTGCCATTATGCATCTATCCTGGGCGACTTGCAGCATATGAAAGCCAGGAATCGAACGCTTGACTCTGGCATGGCTAGTTGCATTACCTACACGTCAATATAAATGCTTCAAACTACATTTGCATGTACATATAGTCCATTATTCATATCCGGGAGAATCAAAGGTCGTCCGCTCCTGTCAAACTCAATGAAACAGTAAAACTCTCTGGACTGGAGCTGAAATCTTAATCGCTGCTCGACTGAAACCGACCTTCGTCTCAGCTCTCCTCACAGCAAAGACAAAATCAGCATTTACATTTCAAACTAGCAAAACCTGCTGCTGTAAGCATCACTGACAGACCACGGCACATTCAGATGAATCTCACGAAACCTGGCAAGTACAGGACCAGGTCACTTCACACCAAAAATAAAGATGGACATTATACACGCATTATATAGCATTTTGCTTAAAGAAACTAAAGTCTTGAAATTTTTAAGCATCAAAAAATTCTGCCGATTTGCAAAAAGGCCTAATATCATATATATTACATATAACCTTAATGCATTTCTCAAGATAACAAAAGCAGTAAAATGTTGAAAGTTTATTTTTTTTAATGACAAACAGAAGTATTCAAACTGTATTATTTAACTTACAATCTGCAAAGTAACAGAAAAAGTGGAAATCAAGCATAAAGTCATAAAAGTGAAAAAAAGTTTAAAAAAATTAAAATAAAAAAAATCTTGTGTTTATGGTGTTTTTCTGCTGATTAAGGAAGAATATAAGACTCATTCACTGTACAAATGGTTATCAAAAGCAAAAATGCTAGCAAACATCATATTTTGTGGGAAAGTGTGCAAATCTTCCATCACTATTATATTACAAAAACACACAACAAAAATTCTAAAACTTCAGTAAAATTAAAATTGAAAATATAAAAATAAAAACAATTCAAAATATTAATAAAAACTATAATAGTATCTCAATGAATCCAATGCACTTTGGATGGACACCAGCTATTTTCTGAAGGACTGATCAGAACTCATGCAAATCTATCAATCATTCACCAGCCATATTAGCAAATGATGTTTGTTTTTGTAAACAAATGCTGCTATTTACAAAAAGTGAATACTTGCCTAAAATGTTTTGGTGTTAGTGAGAAAAACAGCTTAAAAACCAGTCTACAGGTCTGGTTTGCACTGGTCTAGTTTGCTGGTTTTAGAGCGGCTTTGTGGACCATCTAACCATCTTAACCTGGCTTCAGTAGTTTTTCTAACAATGCAAGTGTATCTGCTTTGTGTGCAGGTCTTTAATATCTGCTTCATCATGGAGAAGCAAGCAGCAAACTCTCTCTGGAAATCTTGAGGTAATAAGCAAAGGGGAGGAAGAGAAGGAAACAACAAAGTTAGCAGGCGAGCGAAGGGAAACCATAATGAGCCGCTTTCCTTCGAGTAATAGAGGAGAAAACCTAATGCACACGCCAGCGAGAGAAGCACGCAGACCATTAGAGACACGCAGGAGGCTTGTATTATTATTATTATTAAATAACTAATAATACAAGTGTTTACTATTAATATGATATGTTTACTATTTATTTATTATCAGTGTTATTATTATTATTATTAAATAACTAAATAATATTAATAATAAAATCAATGCATTGTGTACTATTAATTATTTATTAAAAGCTATTTAATAATAATAGTAGCAATAAACTATTAATAAATAATAGTAAAATAGCAAAAATGTATTGATTTTATTATTATTATTATTAAATAACTAATATTAAAAAAATAATAAAATCAATAAGTTATTTTTACTATTTATTTATTATTAACAGGTTGTTGTTATTATTAAATAAATAAAATAGCAATAATAATAATAATATATTTACTTTTTATTATTATATATGGTACTATTTCAATTATATATTTTCTCTTTAATTGAAAAATATAATGTCTAACAGAGACATCAATAACAACAATTTATATATACATTTACATTTTTATTTACACTGAATTAATGTTTTATACATACACATATTTATATATTTAATAAAATATATTTTATTTTGCATTAAAATATTAAAATAAAAATGTATATTGTGTTAAATGTATACTATGTACATTACAATGAATGTACAGTATATAATAATAATAATAATAATAATAATAATACATGTATACATAATTAAATTGCTATGTTATTTTTTTTATTTATACTTTTTTTATTTATACCATAGTCCAAATATCACTACAAGACAAGGTTGGCATCTTGAAAGACTTTACATAAAGTAAATGAGAAAGCTCTTACCAGTGTGAGCAGGACACTCGGCTTCATTTTAGTCAGCACATCAGCAATCTGTGGAGAAAAGCTTTCATTAGAGCGGATCATTTAAGCGGAATATCACTGGCTTTGCAGGAATATCAGTGAAAATCCCCGGACGCCGCTGACAGGTGCACTAATGAACGACAGAAATGGCCTTGGAGGAGAGATTTCTTATGAAAAGCAGATCCAGCGGTGGCGGCAGACAGACAGACAGCGTAAATGTCAACCGAAGAGAGAATGAATCACCAATAATCTGCACGAACAGAACGAGCAAAGGATTGTGGGAAGGAACACCTGAGCTGTCTTATGTGCTCCCAGGAGTGGATAAGCAGCATTTTAAACCCGCAGGACGAATCAAGCGCAGACTATTTCACCTCAGGGCAGATTTCGGAGCAGAATCCACATTTCTGTCTGATACTTCATCCAACAGAAATCCATACAGACGACACCAGCGCTGAATGCTAAAGCGATAGTCGGTCAGTATTTACTCAGCCTCATGTTAGTGCACACCTGTATGCAACACAGAACATTGTTGAACATCTTTTGTTCATGCAGAAGCGTCAGGATCTATTATCATATTCTAATAGAGCTGTCAGGAAAACAGATTGAGTTGTGACGACAGTCTGAGGAGTAAATGAAGCTTTCGGCGTCCTGAACGAATGAACCCAGCGAGAACATCAGATTAATGCGGTGCGGGAGCCGTGTGCTTAAAGGCCCTTATCCACAAATTACAAACACGCCGCGAGCCCAACGACAGACAGCACTGACACCCTGACCACATCCACAGAATATGAGCTGAGAGACCGATTAGGACATCTTTATTATTATTATTACTATTAATTATTACTACTACTTTTATTATATATTATTATATTTTCATTTTTCAATTATGAACAATTTTGTATATACACTACACATACAGCAAAATTTCATACATACATACATACATACATACATACATACATACATACATACATACATACATACATACATACATACATACATACATACATACATACATACATACATACATACATACATACATACATACATACATACATACATACATACATACATACATACATACATACATACATACATACATACATACATACATACATACATACATACATACATACATACATACATACATACATACATACATACATACATACATACATACATACATACATACATACATACATACATACATACATACATACATACATACATACATACATACATACATACATACATACATACATACATACATACATACATACATACATACATACATACATACATACATACATACATACATACATACATACATACATACATACATACATACATACATACATACATACATACATACATACATACATACATACATACATACATACATACATACATACATACATACATACATACATACATACATACATACATACATACATACATACATACATACATACATACATACATACATACATACATACATACATACATACATACATACATACATACATACATACATACATACATACATACATACATACATACATACATACATACATACATACATACATACATACATACATACATACATACATACATACATACATACATACATACATACATACATACATACATACATACATACATACATACATACATACATACATACATACATACATACATACATACATACATACATACATACATACATACATACATACATACATACATACATACATACATACATACATACATACATACATACATACATACATACATACATACATACATACATACATACATACATACATACATACATACATACATACATACATACATACATACATACATACATACATACATACATACATACATACATACATACATACATACATACATACATACATACATACATACATACATACATACATACATACATACATACATACATACATACATACATACATACATACATACATACATACATACATACATACATACATACATACATACATACATACATACATACATACATACATACATACATACATACATACATACATACATACATACATACATACATAATAATAATAATAATAATAATAATAATAATAATAATAATAATAATAATAATAATAATAATAATAATAATACATGTATACATAATTAAATTGCTATGTTATTTTTTTTATTTATACTTTTTTTATTTATACCATAGTCCAAATATCACTACAAGACAAGGTTGGCATCTTGAAAGACTTTACATAAAGTAAATGAGAAAGCTCTTACCAGTGTGAGCAGGACACTCGGCTTCATTTTAGTCAGCACATCAGCAATCTGTGGAGAAAAGCTTTCATTAGAGCGGATCATTTAAGCGGAATATCACTGGCTTTGCAGGAATATCAGTGAAAATCCCCGGACGCCGCTGACAGGTGCACTAATGAACGACAGAAATGGCCTTGGAGGAGAGATTTCTTATGAAAAGCAGATCCAGCGGTGGCGGCAGACAGACAGACAGCGTAAATGTCAACCGAAGAGAGAATGAATCACCAATAATCTGCACGAACAGAACGAGCAAAGGATTGTGGGAAGGAACACCTGAGCTGTCTTATGTGCTCCCAGGAGTGGATAAGCAGCATTTTAAACCCGCAGGACGAATCAAGCGCAGACTATTTCACCTCAGGGCAGATTTCGGAGCAGAATCCACATTTCTGTCTGATACTTCATCCAACAGAAATCCATACAGACGACACCAGCGCTGAATGCTAAAGCGATAGTCGGTCAGTATTTACTCAGCCTCATGTTAGTGCACACCTGTATGCAACAGAACATTGTTGAACATCTTTTGTTCATGCAGAAGCGTCAGGATCTATTATCATATTCTAATAGAGCTGTCAGGAAAACAGATTGAGTTGTGACGACAGTCTGAGGAGTAAATGAAGCTTTCGGCGTCCTGAACGAATGAACCCAGCGAGAACATCAGATTAATGCGGTGCGGGAGCCGTGTGCTTAAAGGCCCTTATCCACAAATTACAAACACGCCGCGAGCCCAACGACAGACAGCACTGACACCCTGACCACATCCACAGAATATGAGCTGAGAGACCGATTAGGACATCTTTATTATTATTATTACTATTAATTATTACTACTACTTTTATTATATATTATTATATTTTCATTTTTCAATTATGAACAATTTTGTATATACACTACACATACAGCAAAATTTCATACATACATACATACATACATACATACATACATACATACATACATACATACATACATACATACATACATACATACATACATACATACATACATACATACATACATACATACATACAGTATTTTTTCTAAACAATGTATAAATAAAAACAATATACAAAAATAAAAAATATTAAAATAAAAATTGTAAATAAGCTATTATTATTATTGGACTTAACATTTAGAATTGTATGTGTTTTCAAGAGAGTGCCAACTAATAATTAATTCTTATCATATATTATATTATTTGAATGTATTCAATTTCTTCAAATAAAAATAATATTTAAATCGGATATTATTGCTACGTATTGACAGACTACAAACAAACAGCTCAATTCTTAAATGCATTCTGTGGTTTTCTAATAATATAAAAGTGCATTATGTTTTTCATAACCGCAGATACATGTTGCAGTTCCTTATAAAGTTACTGAGCAACTGACTAATGTTTCTTTGATTTACTCACTGAAATGCCTCGTACCTGCAGAATAAATAGACGCGAGCAGCAGCTGTACATCATCTTAACGTGTCAGTGCTATAAATATTTGATTATTTTGTTAGCAGACTAGATTTGACTTATGACTCTGAAAGAAAGTCACACTGGTTTGCAAATAAAAGGCGAGACCCATAGCAAAAATAAAGATGTGGTTTGTTAACATTAGTGAATGCATTAGCTAACATCAACTTATTAGGTGCATTAACTAATGTTAACATGTATTACTAAATATTTAAATATGTATTCGCAAATGAGGAAACTGACAAACTAAGATGCTTTAGAAGTATTCATATTAACTAGGGATGTAACGATTACCGGTTTGATGATAAATCATGATAAAATTCCCCATGGTTAGTATTACCATTTCATCTTTTAATTATCATCAAAACCGTATTAGATTACCGTGATTTGAACAACTGGCAATAAATAAATACTGTCCAGCATAAAGCAGAGGTTTAAGTAACAGTCTCACGTGCGCACAGCACGCAGAGTAGTTTCGTTTTGAGTGAAAACTGGGCTGAAAAGCTGGGAGGTTTTAAAAGAGTGCTAAGGGAATTATACAAATGAATATATGAATTAATTAATTATATGAATGTACCTCTGAAGGTTCTGACTGTCTTCAGAGACTAGATTTGACTTATGACTCTGAAAGAAAGTCACACTGGTTTGCAAATAAAAGGCGAGACCCATAGCAAAAATAAAGATGTGGTTTGTTAACATTAGTGAATGCATTAGCTAACATCAACTTATTAGGTGCATTAACTAATGTTAACATGTATTACTAAATATTTAAATATGTATTCGCAAATGAGGAAACTGACAAACTAAGATGCTTTAGAAGTATTCATATTAACTAGGGATGTAACGATTACCGGTTTGATGATAAATCATGATAAAATTCCCCATGGTTAGTATTACCATTTCATCTTTTAATTATCAAAACCATATTAGATTACCGTGATTTGAACAACTGGCAATAAATAAATACTGTCCAGCATAAAGCAGAGGTTTAAGTAACAGTCTCACGTGCGCACAGCACGCAGAGTAGTTTTGTTTTGAGTGAAAACTGGGTTGAAAAGCTGGGAGGTTTTAAAAGAGTGCTAAGGGAATTATACAAATGAATATATGAATTAATTAATTATATGAATGTACCTCTGAAGGTTCTGACTGTCTTCAGAAACGATCAATGGCATTTTGTTTTCATCTTCGCTCCATGTAATACCTAAAGCAAGTGTTCTTAATCGCAATGCTGCTTTGTCCACTGAGGTAACGGTGAACAGCTCTAATTCAGCTTTTCCATAAGATTTACAGATTCAGCCTGTGTGCAGTTTCTGTCTGGCCAAAAACAGACCGAATTTGCATGCCCTGCTGTAAATTTTGACCGGTTGATGAAAAACAAGCTTTTGTGAATTCTACACATTTAAACAATTCAGATCTAAGTTATCTAGAATTATTTATGAAGCAGATAAAATACATATAATCATTTATTAATCAATTATCATTTTGACTTGTATATTTTCTTTATTTAAAGGCTGAAATGTGAGGTTTACCTTTTTATTAAACTTTTTCAAAGCTTTATTTGAACATTTACATGAGATATTTCAACATGCTATTAAACCGTTGTCAGTCAAGTTGTCATTTAAAATCCGAACATCACTGGTAAGGTTATTGTTTTAGTGATTAAGCAAACGAAAAGTAATGTATTTGTTGTTTGTTGATTTTTAAATATAAAACTTGAAGTGATTTATGTGTCGTACTTTTTTAACATCTCCAGCACATTTGAACAATATCGTGATAATACTGATAACCGGGATAATTTTGATCACTATAATCGTGATAAGAAGTTTTCATACCGTTACATCCCTAATATTAACAAATGAGAGTGTTGTAAAGCATTGCGGTTACATTCATAAAACAAAACAATACTTGCGTCTACATGAAGGACTGTTTTTCACAGCTTTTAGAAAGTAGTTCAAGCTAAACTGATGTTTCAGGACATGACGTGCTAATGTGTTTGAGCTGATGTGTGCGGAGAGTAAATTAACACCTAGCTCAGTTAAAGACGAGCAAACTCTCACATCATGCAGTCTGACATCAGTGTGAACTGCAGCTTCATATTATGAAATAGAATTAAAATAATACTTGTCTTGTTTAATTAATATCGCTATAAAATCCTGCATTTAAATAGATCAAAAGAATTTTTTTTTAATAATAGAATAAAAATAACAACATAAAAAGTACCTTATCTATAAAATCCTGCTCTGAAATGGATCAAAATAATTGATTTTTCAAATGATAACTAAAAAAACTGTACCTTGTCTTGTCGCTATTTATTTCTGCTCCCCTTATTAGATCAAAAGAATTGAGCTTTTTTAATTATACAATTAAAAAAATAACAAAAGTGTACCTTGCTATGAATAGCTATTTTTTCTTTGTTCATTTTAATTAAAATTGTAGTATTTTATATTATATTGTACTATAATAACTTATTGTAAAAACAATTTTTGTTTTGATTAAGTTTTATTTTTTAGTTTAATTAGTTTGTTATTTTAGTATTTAATATTAAGTATTTAGTATTAATATTAAACAAGATGATTAGAGTAAAACAGTGCTTTCCATGAAGAGAATTGTTTGTATCTGTCGATTTTACACATTTGCCATTAGGAAGAAAGATTATCTACCCATTGACTGCTCTCGACACATCTCTTTGGCCAAGCATTCAAATAATGCATCTCATAATCTTGTACTGAAGTTATATCTGATCAAATGCACATTATTATTCTTTAGCTTGGGTTAAACAAATACATTTGCTTGGTTGGAACAGCAGCTACGCTAATTATGTCTATTTGTTGTATTTGTATTTGTTTCTCTGCTTCTGCCACAGGATTGACTAGGATTTACACAAGCTTCAGTCTGGATCCAGAACACCTGAGAAGAGATGATGAGGACCTCAGATGATGCCAACCCTGAAACAACATACAGAACTACCACATTTTGCTATAAGTTTGATTGCATCATATAATAATTGCTGTTAATAGTGTTATTCGTCTGGTTGATTACATCTTTAATTGATTTTTCCGTACATTTCTGCCATATGTACATTAACTGACAGTCACCACTGATAAGCTACCACTAAATATTGTAGAAACTTAATTTGCTGTAAAGTTGCTTTGCAACGATTTGTATCGTGAAAAGCGCTATACAAATAAACTTGAATTGAATTGAACATACCCTTGAATCTTAATACTGTCAAACTATTGATGTAAAGTCAAAGACAAAATGAATGCTTCAAGTTACTGTTATTAAATAAATGAATGAAATAAATGGATCTACAGGCAATTGAATCATAGGGTGTCCTAACTTTGTCACACATGGCTTTTCCCTCTTTGCTGTATTTTTGTTAAATAAATAATGACATGGTTTGATATGTCATGTGATGTTGTTTATCTGAGGATTTATTTTCCAAATTTTAAAACCTGCCAAGGACCAGACAATTTGTTATTATGTCCTGATACAAAAAAACATGGAATAATTCCAGTACTGATTTAATGAGTCTTTCACTGATGTGCAATTGCAATATTTAGAGAGCAGTTTTTTTGAATCCAGAAGGTATAAAATTTGGATAACACAACAAGTACGCTTTCCATTCTTCATTAGAATGTTAGTTACCAGCCAATGCAATAATGATAAAATGGACAAATATTGGCATTTTAATCAGACTGGTCAATATACATCAGTAGTATTTATGTCTAAGAGAGAGTGAGAACCGTGTGCTGTCGGTCAATGTGTTAGATTTAGCACTTTAGTGAAAACTACTGTAGGAAATTCACATTTTAATATCCTAAAGGCAATAAGAAGATAATCAGAATAAATGAAATGAGAGCATATAGCAGACTCTGGAAAGCTAATTATTTTTCTCCAGCGGTATCAGACACACGCTGCATGTTAAGATGCAGCAGTTTAAGTTTAAGTGTAATTGTAAGTTGTTAGCTGGCATATCGGTGCCTACAGCCATGGGTCAGTCCTCCACATGTGGAAAGCAGTCATGCTTACATTATGAATAATTCACTGTTTTAAACGCCCTCATAGATGTTTTCTATTTCTGTTTGCTTGTCAACAGCTCTGCTTCCAAGTGAGCTTTCTAGACAGCATTTTAGTCATTCAGGACTTTACAAAAGGCAGCAAAATTCTTATTAAACGCCTAATTCTGGCCAAATTCTAAGGTAGTGCTTCACAGATAAGGCAATTCCACAAAGCACTGCAATGAGCTCAGATAAAAGTTGGAGGACAGCAACTACAGTTTAAATCCTATGAACAAGAGCAATCCAAGAGCCCAATTTCAGAGAATATACTGCAAAATATACAAAATTCCAACAAAAAACTCCAAGCAAGAGACAATTTCTGAATGAAATGAGTTTGAAAAAAAGCGGGTGAATCAATGATTCAATGATCCATTCATAACGGGAGTCATTTACTTCACTCCTGAATGAATCAGTGTTCAAACAAATCAAATGATTGAATCAATGAATCCATGACTTATCGAGAAGACGCTGTATCCTACGCTGTGAGAGTAAATTTGTTTTATCACATCTTATAATTACCAAACTTGTCAACACTTGACACTTACCACTGAGAAACGTCCTGCTCCAGTCGTGCTTGCGAATCAGTCTCATGTCGATCAGCCAGTTTCATCATCAGACTCCGGCTCGAATTGGAAAAGTACAATCGATACCATCTTTTCTATGTATGGACAAGTCTCCAGGGCTGTCATTCCATCATTGCAATGGGCGTTTCGTTTCCGACACACGCTGTACGCGGTAGACCAATCCAGAGCCAATCTCTACGGCTCTGGACCAATCACAAAGGACTGCGCCATCTGACCAATCAGCAGTGAGGGCTCACAGAAAGGAGGGGTTTAGAGAGACTGATTCTTTGAACTGCTTCGCACTAGTCGTTTACGAATCATTTAGAAATTAGGTAAAATTAAATTTATTTTTTGAGAAAACTTGCATGCATGTAAACCTGTTTTAGGAGACTCATAAAACAATATTAGCAACCTTAAAAATGGCATAATAGGGGCACTTTAAGACAATAACTGCCACATAATGGCAGTTTTAGTTTCTTATTTAGAGTATCATTTTATTAAAATATAATTTCATATTTCCATATTAATAAAAAATCTGAAAATATTTTTTGTAGTATCCATCTCATGCTTTTCTCATGCAACACAATAATGGCTTTAAATGATCTTTTGTGGGTAATTTCGGAGCCAAATTTGATGTGTGATTAATGAGATTGTGTAATAAATTAGATTCAAAATTTTAATCGATCAACAGCCCTTATCCATATATGGTACTGAAAATTATTATTTAAAAATAATATATATATAATAATCTTTTAATATAAATAACAAAATTCAGTTACATCTGAACACAAACACTCTTTTCATGAAATAAAGTAACTAAAAACAAGACTCAGTTACAAAGCAGCTAAAGGCCACTAAAGGAGTTTCATTATCACAATATAAACACTCATTTGCATTATATAAGCCAATATAAGACAAACCTAATGAGTGCAAATGAACAAGCTGCATACTAATAAACACAGCGTTTTAAAGTGAAACTGCACTCACGTCAGTGGTGTAATGCACCTCATCGATGGCGTATTTCTCCTTGAAGTGTTCACGCGGGTAGATCCTGTTGAGACAGACAGACAGAAAGAGCTTTAATGAGAACATCCCATGGAGTGGATGTACTTTATTTAGATCCTCCTTCTTATGCTCAAACGAAATTTGTTCCCATTTTTATGACAGCCATTTTGCTCTAACGTTATTTTAAATGCATTAAAACTGATACTCTGCATTAAGTATGTAATTTTTCAATAATTTCCATGATCGATCGTCGTTTAAATTAATGATAAATTAATTGTTAACCTTAATACTGCAAAATGCGTCTATTGCAGTGGCATATTCACTGGCATGACTGGATGTACAAATGCCACTCAAAATGCCAGCTTCCTCACCTGAATTAAAGGGGGTTTTAGTCTAAATAAAGGCTAGTAGCAGGACTGTAAAATGAATAGATGTGATTATGATCATTTGTGACCCTGGACCACAAAAGCAGTCATAAGTAGCACGGGTGAATTTGTAGCAATAGCCAACAATACATTGTATGGGTCAAAACTATTATTTTTCTTTTATGCCAAAAATCATTAGGATATTAAGTAAAGATCATGTTCCATGAAGATATTTTGTAAATTTCCTTCCGTAACTATAGCAAAACTTAATTTTTGGTTAGTAATTCGCATTGCTAAGAACTTCATTTGAACAACTTTAAAGATGATTTTCTCAATATTTAGATTTTTTTGCACCCTCAGATTCCAGATTTTAAAATAGTTGTATCCTAACAAACCATACATCAATTGAAAGTGTATTTATTCAGCTTTCATATGATGTATAAATCTCAATTTACAAAAAAACTGACCCTTATGACTGGTTTTATGGTCCAGGGTCACGTTTAATAAAATGAAGCGAGCGCGCCGTAGTTACTTTTGGGATCATTTTACTTTGTTGCTGTTTCATATCCCGTCACGGAGACCACTGAACGTGCCTCTTTAAATGCTGTCATGGTGCTTGTTGTTGTACTTTAAAACACAATCGCAATCTTTGCAATTGACATTATTGGCATTTAAAATAAAATGATCCCAAACTAAGTTTGGCGCGTGTTTTTGTGTCAGAGAACCACTTCCACCGGCGGTGCTGCGGCAAAACACACTGCTGCTCACATGAAACATTTTAATGCGAGTATGACACAAGCTTTGTTTACAAGAGAAATAATTGGTTAGCAGGCAAATGTTACATCGTAACCATGCTTTTGCAGTCATGCGGATACATTGTGTTCTGTTTTGCCGGTTGGTCACGAATTTCCATGCATTTAATTATATTTATGGTTTCTTTTCCCAAATCCTCACCGTCTCAACCTCAAATTTCACAGGTTTATTTTATTGTCGTTCACTTTTAAACAATGTTTTTGCATCTCTTACTGTGGTAAACATGCGGGCGCAAATAAAGATTTCGTGGCCATGAATTAAGAATTCATTCCTATGACTTATTTCGTTCCCTCATTTTATAAATTCATGAAACATGGAGAGTGGCCACAAATGAATAAGTCGTAGGAATGAATTAACAAGTTGTAGGAATGAATTCTATACAGGCTATATATACAGGATCTGTCCTGCTAGTGTCCGCATCCCTGTCAAAGCGTAGAGCCCGATATGAAACAATTATCTGGGGAAATTATAATTAAACATGGCTTACTACATTTCAATACAAAATAACTTTCTGTTTTAAATAAACTTTTAGGGGTGGAACGGTTCGCCGAAAAAATCGAACCATTAAGCTTTCTCTGAAGTATTGTGTTTAAATGGACAAATTCACACAAAAAATGATGTCAAAATGCCTTGGTAAGTATCCTATAGCAGACATAGCCGGCTGAAGGTACTGTATCAGTGCATTCTCTTAAAGCGACAGCACTTTCTTAATATTAATCAAACAGCAACAACAAAGAAATCACTCACTGCTCTTGATTGAATAGGTTTTGTGACTTTAATAAAGATTAATCTTTAATTTATACAGTCAAATATGCAATGCTGTTTTACATTTCATTTCTTTATTCAATTTCAGTACCTAAAAACTAATGTTAGACCTACCTAAAATAAAAAACTGAAAATCACTGTTTATTTTATTTGTATGTTTACTCTATTGCATTTGTTTGTGCTGTTGATTGTAGTTAGATAGATTATTCTTATTTTCTTTATTTTTATTTGACAGTATAGTTTTTGCCTAAACATAGCACATACCGAACCGTACCGAAACCGTGACTCTAAAACCGTGATACAAACTGAACCATGAGTAAGTGGAACCGTTTCACCCCAGTACTTTTAAAGTTTGGATCACATTTGAAACGTAATTTGTACGTAGTAAATTATTTTCGCCAAAGCCCCGTCACCGTCACTCACAGCCGCACGCAGCCCAAAATTAAACTGCTTAATCGACCATCGATAGCTTTAATCGATTACATCTCTTATCGACAATTAATCAATCGTCGATTAATCGTTGACATCCCTACTGTACTCTGCATGAACGTTGGACAAAGACTGGACTTCCGTCTTGATTCTGCTAATGGTTTCTGCAGTCCTCAGATAATCAAGTAAATGGACTCTTGATGTCGAGTGTTTGTGGTTCTTGGAGATGAAGTATTCATGCAAACACACTCCAACCTCATTTTCAAATTGCACATCAATAACTTTGAGAGCTTTACTAATATACGGCTATAAAGTTTTGCAAACACACTCAGTTTTGCGCTTTGCTGAGAGAAAGTAGAGACACAAGGTTTCCAGAAATTAATTATGCTAATAACCTATTCATATTCTCCACAGAGAAACTGATTTATATCCATTAACATTTAAATGTATAGGGCCAGTTAAGATTTTTATTCAGCAAGGATGCATTAAATTGATCAAAAGTGACAGTAAAGACATTTATAATGTTACAAAAGATTTCTATTTCAAATAAATACTGTTCTTTTTAACTTTCCATTCATTCACTCCATTCAAAGAATCCTTAAAAATAAAATGTTTCCAACATTGATAATCAGAAATGTTTCTTGAGCAGCAAATCAGCATA